AACACAAGATGGAAAAACATATGTTCAAGTAGAGATACTAAAATTAGGTTCCTTTCTGAACTGAATTTCAAAGACCTCTAAGTGTGGAGCAGTGCTGCGGGTGTCACACGGACTCCCTGGCAGGAATCCAGCCGCAACAGGTCCGGTTCAAGCCACAAGGCTCGGCGGGAGCGAGCAGGGGGCGTTCCACACTGCTCCCAGATCCGGCCAGGACCTGTGCTACACAAACAGTCTCTGGCTCAGTGACAGGTGGAGAAAACCCAGATTCTCAAACAAGAACCTTGCATATGAAGTCCAAGAACAAATAGGTTCAACAGGAACAAACAATTAGTCTGTGCACTTTTGTTACTTAAAAAGAAAAAATAGTGTAAACCAGGTCTTCAATGTGACCTTGAGCAGCCCCCGCTTGCTTGCTCTCCTGGTGTTCAGCTGAAAGGGTGCAGGACAATAGCCACCACCTTGTTGCAGACTAAAATCCAGCAGGTAATGCCGACGCCGCCTAAAGCAGAGAAACCCCGTGAGCGGCCGACCCCCTCTCCCCTCTCTCCCTCCTCTCCCCCCACGGGGCCGACCCCCTCTCCCCCCTCTCCCCCTCTCCCTCCGCGGGGCCGACCCCCTCTCCCCCATACCCCCTCTCCCCCTCTCTCCCCTCCCCCTCTCTCCCCCTCTCCCTCCGCAGGGCCGACCCCCTCTCCCCTCTCTCCCTCCTCTCCCCCCGCAGGGCCGACCCCTTCTCCCCTCTCTCCCCCTCTCCCTCCGCAGGGCCGACCCCCTCTCCCCTCTCTCCCTCCTCTCCCCCCGTGGGGGCCGACTGAGTCTTCAGCTTCTTTCTGAGGGCTATGAGCTGAGAGACCAGGCTTGTGTTTCACAGGTTCAGGTCCATCCCAGTCTACAGATTCATGGCACCGCATTCTCTATCAGGCAGGAACGACACCTAACCAGACACAGGCCGCACGCCCCTTTCCTTACGGGGGACACATGTTTCTGCGAGTGACGTTACGGTGCTGCAAGACAACGGGCCTCTCCTCTCACAAGTAAGGTTTAATAAGCAAGCATTCAGCCATGACGTCCTGGTCTGAAAATGGACAGAGCAGAGCACCCCTCGCCCCGGAGCACGAGCAAGGGGCCTACAGGCCTGTGCGGGCGCCCGGAAGGGTAGCCTGCCTCCCCTGGTACCACTGCAGAGGGCCTGGTGCCTTCAAACCACGGTGCCTTCTGATACAGGAATCGGCTTCTAGCGTAATTACTAATTACAACCAAAGACTGCTAACAAGCCTGAGTGCTGTGGTGCTTTAAAAAGAAAGTTATTGATTTTATTTATTTGAAAGGTAGAATGACAGAGAGGGAGACAGACATGCTCAGTGTACTGCTTCACACCCTGAATGCCTGCAACAGCTGTGGTTGGGCCAGGAACCAACTCCAGGCAGTCCGTCTCCCCCACGGGGGCGGGTGGTGGTGCAGAACTCCCAGGGGCCTGAGCTCCAGGCTGTCTCCCCCACAGGGGGCGAGTGCAGAAGTCAGGCAGCTGAGCCACAGTGTGGTGCTTCCCAAAGCGGGCAATAGCAGAAATGCGGATGAGAAAGGAGCAAACGTGAGCATGCTGTGGGGCGGCACGTTCAGCCACCACCTGACACGCCAGCATCCTGTGAGTGCTCCCAAGCCCCGCCTCCTGTGGATACACAGCCTGGAGGGCAGACGCAGGACCCTAGCAGCCAGGTCTCCACCAGCCAGCTGACAGCGGGCTCCCAGCACCCCTGCTGCAGCCCAGCCAGCCCCTCTGCTGCAGGCATCTCAGTGGTAGACAGATGGAGGGGAAGGGGCGTGAGAATACAGGAGAGTGGCTAGATAGGACGGGGTGTGTGTGTGCCAAGTGTGTGGTTAGATAGGATGAGGGATGTGTGTGTGTGTGTGTGTGTGTGTGTGTGTGTGTGTGTGTGCCAAGTGTGTGGTTAGATAGGATGAGGGGTGGTGTGTGTGTGTGTGTGGTTAGATAGGATGAGGGGTGGTGTGTGTGTGTGTGTGTGTGTGTGTGTGTGTGTGTGTGTGTGTGTGTGTGGTTAGATAGGATGAGGGGTGGTGGGGGTGTGTGTGTGTGTGTGTGTGTGTGTGTACACCGGTACACACATACGTTTCTACCTTACAAATAAATAAATCTTAAAAATTGTTTTGGGACTGGCACAGTGGCTCAACAAGCTAATCTTCCACCTGCAAGCGCCTGAATCCCATACGGGAACTGGTTCGTGTCCTGGCTAATCCACTGCGGATCCATCTCCCTATTCATGGCCTGGGAAAACCTTGCCCCCTGCACACGCAGGGCAGACCTAGAGGAGCTCCTGGCTTCAGACCGGCTCAGCTCCAGCCACTGCAGCCATTTGGGGAATGAACCAGTAGATGGAAGATCTACATCTCTCTGCCTCTTCTCTCTGCAAAACCATCTTACAAACAATAAATAAATCTTTTTAAAAACTGCTTTAAGTTTCTATGTTGGGTAGGACTCAGGACGGAGCGTCTCATGCCTGGATCCCAGACAGCCGCCATGTGCACATGGTGAGCTGTTCCCGGGGCTGCTGGGCTCTAGGGGCTGCTTCCTTCGGGGTGAGTAGACTGAGGGGGGAGGTCTCCGTGACTGGGCAGGTCCAGAACCCACCCGCCGCCTTCATTGGGCGGTCAGTGCACAATTTGGTGCCAAGCTCTGCCTGCTGGACACCCGGCCGGGAGCTCTGGGGATTTGGTTCTTTGAGTCACTGCTTAATTAGCTCCAGGTTGAACCCATTGTGCTTCTCGGACCTGAAACAGGCAGTGACTCTTCCTTTGCAAAACTTGTAATCACTAATAATGCTGAGCACCAAATACCAGGCCATGCAGAAGCTATGGCTTGGGGCTTATCCTGCAAAAGTAGCTCCAACAGCTGGCTAATGTGTCAACTGGTAATGCAACAGAGTAGATCAGGCACGACTGAGCAAACCTTAGCCCACAAGTAAAACTAGAAACCAGGACGGAGCAGAGGTCATGCCGAGCTAGGCTCTTGTACCTACTGGTCTGCGGGAGCCAGGGACGCTAAGCCACAGTGTCTAAAGCAGAGTTCGGGACAGGGGAGGGGCTGTGCCAAGCTGAGTCAGAGCATCCATTGGCATGCAAGTGATCTATGGCTGGGAACAGACCCGGTTGGGGAGCTAAGGGGACAACCCTAGTTGGGCTGAGGTTCCCACCAAGAGGCACGTGGCCTGGAAGGGGGGCTGTGTTCTGATCTGGAAACAGTTGTAGTCTCCCTTGGCACAAGTGTGGACTGGGATTGGATGCACCAAACCGGGCCGGACCCCAACACCCCCTGGTGTCCTGGAGGACCAAGGCAGATGTGGGATGGACTAGGCAGGGTCTCAAACCCCTACTGAGCCATGTGTGAGCCATATGTGGGTACGGACAAACCATAGCTGGGCTGGAACATCCAACAGCAAGAACCAGATTGGGTGGAAGACCAGTCAGGAAAAGCCACAGTTCCTGCTATGACAGGAGGTGGACTAAGCAGGGCTGGCTCATGGAACCACTGGTAAGTGTGAAACCTGGCATTGGGAGAGGTTCTGATGGAGGAGCCTGGGCAACTCCTCTGGCAGGACACAGACCTGGAAGGTGAGCGCAAGAAACATGATAGGAAACAGCCCAGAAAAGGCCATGGAAAGCTACCCACTGGCATACAATTGGCAGGGGTTGGAGGAAGACCAGGCTCAACCTGTCCACGTCATCCACTGGCAAATCCAGGCACCGGTGTGGGTCGAGCCACGTTCGGTCACAATGAAGACTAGTGCACAATATGGAATGCCAAGGTGAGGTTGCCTGTACCAGAAGGGACCGCAGCGCCCAACCAGCACACGTGAGAACAAGAAAGGAAGGGGGCAGAGCCGGCAGGGGAATAAGGGAGGGTTCCTTTGCTGGACAGCTACTTCCGCAGGAGAGCATGGGCTGGGATGGGGGCAGACCAGACTAGGCAGAGCAATCACACCTTTGAGCCCCATGTGGACTAGATCAGGGAAAAGCCAGGCTGGGCGGATTATTCCTACTGGTGCAAACAAAATTAAACTGGGCAAGGGTTGTTTGTGCGTAGCCACAGCATCAGCTGGAGTCTGGGAGTGGGAGAGGCCTGGGAGGGAAATAGTGGGCTCATCCCTCTTGGATTACCACTTCCACGGCAGGACATAAAACTAAGATAGTGGCTGGGGTGGAATGGGGTGTGGGACAGACTGAATTACTGCTACACATACTGGCAAACCAGGGTAGGGGGTGGGCCTGGTGGGGGTTATTGTGGTCGCTCCAACTAGGCTGCAGCTCCCACTGGTTTATGTGAGGGCCAAGTATGTGCTGGGCAGAACCAGGCTGGACTGCAACACCCATTGGTTCCAGTGGAAGTCGGGAGTGAAAACAGAACCAACTTAGCAATTGCAACCACCAGCTGATTGGAGCGATGGACGGTGCCAGGCCCTGTACTTGTTAGCACATACAAAAAGTTTCTTTGGAGATCTTCCTAATCTAAATGCTGGACTCAGAACCCTAACGAAGAAAAGAGAGAAGACAGAACAGGTCAACCAACCATCTCAGCTATGATGGACTATGTCAACCAGTGGATTTTTCAAAGACCTCATACTGCTTGGAGTGGCAAGATTGACAGCAATTCATAACCGTTGAAATATCAAAACCACTTGAGCAAGAACCTCAGAGCATGCCCTACATCCGGGACCTGGGGAGGGTGGTAAATTGGGTGGGCCTTCTCCCTTAACACCCCCCTTTAAACATGAAGGAAACAATATGGAAAACATACTACTAGTATTATCCACTTTCCTGTAGCCCTTGAACCTTCTTACCCTGATTAACTATGTAAAGATTGTCAAAATAAAATTTTATATACTAAAAAAAAAAAAAAGTTTCTATGTTGAAGCCTTAACCCTCACAGCAATGTGTGGGGGTGGGACCTTTCGGGGCCCCATGAGTGGCATGGATGCCCTGAGAGAGGCCCCAGGCCAGCGCCCCAGAACACAGCAAGCTGCTCCCCAGAAGCCCGAGAATCGTGTCACCACACATGACAGCTGCCAGCACCCTCAGCCTGCACTTCCAGACTCCACTTCTGCAAGAAATGAATCCTTCTGTTTGCACGATAACTGGTGGGATTTTGTCCTATGGCAACCCAGACAGACGCACAGGGAAAAGCTCACAAGGTGACACTCAGCACGCGCATAAAACGCTGTGTGCCAGCCGGCCTTAACTGTAGTTAAAACAGGTGGGGAATACAGCTAGGAAAAATACCTCTTTAAGGGGAATTATCCACAGCTGCTGGGGCTTTCGCAAAATCATGCCTGTATTTTTATTTTTAATCATTCTACAAAAACAGGTGCTACTACTCTTAATGTCTAAAAGAGAGAGGGGTGTCCCTGCCAACAGCAGGATGCCACGACGAGGCCCTCTATAACCGGACGAGGGCAGGAGAGACACACTGCCAGTCCATGGCCGAGGACTCCAAGCACTGGGCTCCAGGGCAGACCAGGGACTAGGCCACAGCTGTGCCCCCCAGCCCTGTGCCGACACAGGACAAAGGAGGGGACTCCTCCTGGCCCCGGTTTCCTCACAGCAGGCCTCGTGGAGGCGCCACCTCAAAGCACAGCCGGACACAGGCCCCTGGGCCTCCACCACACTTGTCCGCAGAAGCCCTTCCAGCCTCTGGGCGCGCTCAGAGCCGTCTTACCTGCCACCCTGGTAGGGAAAGCCACCAGACGGTCAAGCGGGGTTATCCACTTCCTGGGCACGACAGCCACGGGCACGGAGTAATACTTCCAAATGAGCGAGACCATCAGGGCAGCCTGGAAAGACAGAGTGAGGCAGACGGCCTGGTCCCTGCCGAGGCAGCCCGCAGCCTTGGGCCCGACTTCATCAAACGCCCCAGAAGAGGCAGAGCTCCAGTACACTGGCTGAGATGCCACCCCGCAGTCCCACGTGCCCTGGCAGAGCGCCAGGCCCAAGTCCCAGCACCCACTTTCACTCCAGCTCCTACAAGTGTGGGCACTGAGAAGCAGTGACTCGCGGCTCAAGCGCTCAGGTCTCTAAGCCCCACACGGGGCCATGAGACGAGCTCTGGACTCCTGGCTTTGGCCTGGCCCAGCCCTGGCTGCTACGGGCAAATGGGTTAGCAGAGGAGATTTTTATTTTAAGATTTATTTCACTTTTATGAGACAGTAAGATAAACAAAGAGAAGAGATAGACAGGAAGATCTTCCATTCATTGATTCACTCCCTATGTGGTCACAACAGCTGGAGCTGCGCCGATCCAAAGCCAGGAGCCAGGAGCCTCTTCAAGGCCTCCCATATGAGTACAGAGTTCCAGGGCTTTGGGCCATCCTTGACTGCTTTCCCAGGCCACAAGCAGGGAGCTGGGTGGAAAGCAGGGCCGCCAGGATCAGAACCAGCACTCACATAGGATCCCTGCGCATGTAAGGCAAGCACTATAGCCACTGGGCTGCCACACCACATAGGGCGTGATGAGATTTTAAATACACACCTAAAAATTGGGGGTTTTGCAGGTAGTGGCTTACATATTCTTCCTCAGGGAAGATCACCCCCGGCATGGAAACAGGTCAGGACGGGCAGCCACTGCCCAGCAGATGAAGCGGCACAGCCAACGCTGACAGCAGCAGAAACGGGAGGAATTCGGGGGGCAGCACAACACTACAAAGTCTCCAGACGGGAGCAGAACCTGGGACCTTCCCTGCAGGTGCTTGCTAAGCGCATCGGAGACACACAGCGGTCAAGACTCCAGACCATCACAGAAGACGCAAGGGCCAGCCAGCTGCCCACCGCAGGCCCGGGCACAGCTGCTCAGACAGGGGGCACACAGACAGACAGGCCCACGGGGACCAGTCACACCCTGACCGGGCCATGGGAGAAGCCCGAGCACCCGGCCTGCAGCACACGCCACCGGAGGCCATGCCAACGTCCGTGCCCAGGATGACACCACAGCACGCTTACCTGCAGTATGTGGAAAGCAACGCTGATAACCCATTTTATCTTGGCTAGCTGAGCTGTCCGTGCTTTCACTGAAAAGAAAAACAGAGCAAAATAATTAGGTAAGCCATGCAAAACCAAGAAGATATGCATGTATTGTACACAGAATTATCATTTGTCCTTATAAAGTACTTTTCAGTGTAAGTGGAATAGTCATTCGGTATATGTCAATAGCATAGGCGCTCTGTGTGGCGGTGAGCCTGTCGCTTGGGACACCCACAACCACCGGGACGATGCCTGGGTCGGCGCCCCTGACACTTCCGACCTAGCTCCCTGCTGAAGCACACCCTGGGACACAGCCAGCGACAGTCCTCCAAGACCCCGGGTCCCCTCCCACAAGAGAGACCCAGCTCCAGCTCCTGGCTTCAGCGGGCCCAGCCCCAGCTGCGGCAGGCACAACTACGGATGGGAGACGGGTGTTTCCGGCTTTTGTCTCTGTCTCTCTCTCTGTCTGTCTCTCTTTTCTTCTTCTTCTTCTAAATAAAATAAGCTTTTAAAAATAAAATGGACAACAGAATTTTTAAAAACACCCATCATCTCATTACATTATTCAAAATAGAATCCAGTTCAAATTGTGCGATCCTTTAATTTTAAAAACACACTGGAGACTCTTTTACACCGCAGTTACTCCTCGCCAGCAGGACCGAATTCCCGTCTACACAGGCGTCCAGCTCAGGCCCTCAATCACTTTGACTCACTTCCTGCCTACACAGCACAGCTGCCCGCAAACACGCCTGCTCTCTGACAGCTGGCTCCGTGAGGACACTGCCCGGCACTTCCCAGGCTGGCCAAGCCCCCGGAAGCCTTCAGCGAGAGGCTGTTCTGGGCTTTTCTCAGACAGGAGCTGAACGTGAGCCCGACTCCAAGCTGGCTCTGAAGGAACCTAACAGGACTACCCACACGTCCGTGCCTGGAAACCAAAGTCTCCCAGAACCCAAGGAAAGACGGTCACTGCTACTGACGCAAGTGTGTGTCCCCTCCTAAGGGCTCCCAGCCCCGAGCGCCCCACGCCTGACGGCACCCCCACGCCTGACGGCCCCCCACGCCTGACGGCCACCCACGCCTGTCGGCCCCCCACGCCTGACGGCACCCCACGCCTGACGGCCACCCACGCCTGTCGGCCCCCCACGCCTGTCGGCCCCCCACGCCTGACGGCACCCCACGCCTGACGGCCACCCACGCCTGTCGGCCCCCCACGCCTGACGGCACCCCCACGCCTGACGGCACCCCCACGCCTGTCGGCCCCCCACGCCTGACGGCCACCCACGCCTGACGGCCACCCACGCCTGTCGGCCCCCCACGCCTGACGGCACCCCACGCCTGACGGCCACCCACGCCTGTCGGCCACCCACGCCTGACGGCACCCACGCCTGACGGCCACCCACGCCTGACGGCACCCCACGCCTGACGGCACCCCACGCCTGACGGCCACCCACGCCTGTCGGCCCCCCACGCCTGACGGCACCCCACGCCTGACGGCCACCCACGCCTGTCGGCACCCCACGCCTGACGGCACCCCACGCCTGACGGCACCCCCACGCCTGTCGGCCCCCCACGCCTGACGGCACCCCCACGCCTGACGGCCACCCACGCCTGACGGCACCCCACGCCTGACGGCCACCCACGCCTGACGGTCCCCCACGCCTGACGGCACCCCCACGCCTGTCGGCCCCCCACGCCTGACGGCACCCCCACGCCTGTCGGCCCCCCACGCCTGACGGCACCCCCACGCCTGACGGCCACCCACGCCTGACGGCCACCCACGCCTGACGGCACCCCACGCCTGACGGCCACCCCCACGCCTGACGGTCCCCCACGCCTGATGGCACCCCCACGCCTGTCGGCCCCCCACGCCTGACAGCGTACCGTGAGTTTTGAGTTTATCCGTCATCTTGTTGATCTTCCTCTCCAGCCGGGCGTACCGGGCAAACTCGTCCATCATGTTGACTGTGGACAGCTCCTGCTTCATGTCCTGGATCTCGGCTCGCATCTGCGACTCCTGCTCCGCATCCTTCTGCAGGGCCCTGGACATCTGGCAGGACGGACAGTGGGATCAGCAAGCCCCACGTGGGGTACAGAGGGACCCCACATTCCTGGCTTTGTGTTTGGGTCCTGAGCCAGCAACACAGAATCTTGGCCACTCTGTGCCCAGCTGCACGCTTTCCCTGCAGGCTGGAGCCATAAACGCCCATGGACACTGACAAAGCCATCTAGGTTCCTGCTAAAAAAAAAACACCACGATTAGCACGACTTCTCACAGCACAGAATCCAGGCGCGCTTCAGAGTGCAAGCCCTTCACCACTCACATAAACTCCACACGTGCCTGGATAAGGCATCCCTTAGCCCTTAGCCCACAGCAGGCTCCAAGTCCCTTAGGGAGTGCACTGGACTCAGCAGCCGGTGGCCAAGCACTTCCTGGCTGGGCGTCCAGCCCACAACACTCCAGTGTGGGGCGTTCCTTGGGAACGTGTCTTTCACTACAGCAGTAACACTGCAGGTATAAAACAAAAACCAAGTCCATGACCCGTCGGTCAGGTGACAGGAAAAAGTTCTCTTCCCCTTCCTCAAGAACCGGTCCCAGGTTAGACGGGGCGGACTAAGGTGGGAGAGCAGGAGGCCAGTCAGGAAGCGGTGGCCAGCGCAGTGTCACAGCTTAGGCGAAGCGCCAGGGCCTCCTAGCAGAGAGGCAGCCTGGCAGGCAGGTGCCAGGGCCCAGCCAGGGGGTACAGGGCTCCCAAGCAAGCGCGGGTCAACACAGCCCAGAAGCTGAGCAGGGCGAGAGAGCAGGATGCAGACAATGGCACAGGGAACCCGGCCATGGGCAGCGTGCGGCAGTCAGTGATGCTACTTCCAGACCCAACCTCCTGCTCATGCTCCCTGGGGGAGGCAGATGGTGACCCAAGCATGTGATCTCGGCTGCCCACATGGGGGACCCAGGGGAGCCCCAGTTTCTTTGGCTGTGGAAACGGGCATTTTTAGGAATGAAACAGTGGAGCAAAGGTCTTTTGCTGCTGTTGTTACTTGGTCTTTCAGGTAGATGAAAATAAGGAAATTTAAAAAATAAAAGGAACTCAGTCAAAGCACGGCAGAGGCCACATGGGGTGAGATGGCACACGGGTGACAGAGTGGGCACAGAGGCCTGATCCGTCACCAGGGCAACACCTTGAGGAGGAAGGAAGCCAGTCACCTCGCTGTTGCACTGCGTCACGTGTCCATACCTGGCATGGCCGCCAGAGGGCACCCTGTGCCAGGGAGTGCGAGGGACCAAAACCCCAGGGGCCCTGGGAGACCCCGCACACTGTGAGCACCACGCCTGGGAGGACTTGGGCTGCTGGCTCACTCTCAGGTGGGCCAGGAATCAAAACTGGTTCTCTGTACAAATTCACTTTTTTGCACACCTGTAAATTTTTCAAAATTTTAAAAATATCTTAATAAAAATTATAAAAAGAATTTCTTTAAATATCTGAACAAACCAGGGGCGTGTACCTAAAGTCTATGGTATAATGCAGAAGCACAGTGAATGACTTTTTCTCCCACAGCCCACAGGTCTCCTCTGCCAACCAACGGTGAGGCAATTCCAACTCAGGCTCAGCAAGCTGGGCCCCCTGTCTGCTAGGGCAACGGGTCAGCGCCGGGCCCTCCGTCCCCAGGGCACCGGGTCAGCAGCTCCGGGCCCCTCCATCCCCCAGGGCACCGGGTCAGCGCTGGGCCCCTCCATCCCCCAGGGCACGGGGTCAGCTCCGGGCCCCTCCATCCCCCAGGGCACCGGGTCAGCTCCGGGCCCCTCCATCCCCCAGGGCACCGGGTCAGCGCCGGGCCCCTCTGTCCCCCAGGCACTGGGTCACACTGAGCTTGCACAAGCAGCTGTGCAGGGACGCCCTCTACATGGACCCTGAGGTGCGGCCACCCTGAGGTGCCTGCACAGTGTCTTGGTGAGGGCACAGCTTTTCACAGACTTTGAACCAGAAGCAGGTCGCACGCGCGTGCGTGCACACACACACACTGTTCACTCTCATTTCTTTGAAAGGCAGAATTCGAGAAACTTCCCATGCACTGGTTCACTCCCCAGATGGCTACAACAGCCGGGGCTGGATCAGGACGAAGCCAGGAGCCAGGAGTTCCAGCCGGGTCTCTCTTGAGCTGCCCTGCAACTGCACTGGCTGGAAGCCAGGTCAGAAGGGCTCAAGCCAGCATTCCAAAGTGGACGCTGCCGTAACAGGTGCTGGCCCCAGGACTCGGGGTGCCCAAGTGCAGCTCTCTCTGGGGCACACTCTGCCCTGGCATGGCCGCCACGCCACATCCTGCTGCATTCTCCACCCTGACTCACCTGCAGAGTCAGGCTCACCTTGGCAAGGGCCCCCAGAGCGAGCTGCGCTCGGGCCGAGCAGGCGCAGGGGCGTATGCGGGTCACACCTTCACCGTACGCAAGCTCAACTCCAGGAACCTTCCTCTTAAAAAAATTTTATTTTATTTTATTTTTATTGCCAGGTCTGATATACAGAGAGGAGGAGAGACAGAGAGGAAGATTTTTCTATCTGTTGACTCAGTCCGCGGCAATGGCCAGAGCTGAACCAATCTGAAGCTAGGAGCCAGGAGCTCTTACAGGTCTCCCACATGGGTGTGGGGTCCCAAGACTTTGGACTGTCCTCAACTGCTTTCCCAGGTCACAAGCAGGGAGCTGGATGGGAAGTGGAGCTGCTGGGATTAGAACTGGCACCCATATGAGATCCCAGCACAGTCAAGGCGAGCACCTTAGCGACTAGGCTACCGCGCTGGGCCCGAGACACCTTCCCCTTACAGCTACCTGCCAAGATCAGTGGCACAGAAACGTCACACGGCCTTATGAAAATACAGTTCCTAACCGGAAAGGGCAGTCACTCATGACTTGGCGAACAGCAGCACTGGAGAGCCACGCGTGGCCATCCAAACGCCCCCGAGTTTATGGGCCACATCTGAATTCAAGTAGGGCAATGCAAACACCTGTTTTTTAGCAGGAACACCCCCAAACTACCTGACAGGTCACGGAGCACTCAGAACTGGAAGGCACGCGCGCTCACAGGCGGGTCAGGCCTACCAAGGACTTTGCAGCAGGAAAGGAGTTAACAGACTCCTGTCAAGAGGAAGCCAGAGTCCTCCCTCCGTGTGTACAGGCCTGGCCTGCCGCCCGCGGGTCCCTTGGGGTCTGGTGAAGTGGCCTGCCCGGGGCATCCCCGCGGCTTCCCGCCCTGGCCCACACTCCTGGTCCCCCCAGGGCAGGGCTCGGCAGCGGCTGACCGCACCCTCGGGAATGAGGCAGGTCCCTTGGCAGCTCTAGGCCAGGAACCGCCCTCATCGGGTCAGCGCCGGGCTGGGGAGCGGGCAACCGGCCATGCCTGGGCGCCCTGCCCGCCCCGGGCGGCCGCAGACAGGGCAAGCACGCTGGCATGGGCGCTCCAGGGAGGACTCCCTGCGGCAGGTCCCGCACTGTCCACCTCTCGCCTCAATCCCGTACAGGGTGAGGGAAATCCAACACCAGCGGTCACCCCAAACCCCAGGCCCAGCACACACCGGGCTGCCCTGGCTTTGGGAGGGAGGAGCGCCTGGCGCCTGCGCAGTGGGTGCAGCTCCCGGCAGACCAGGTTGGCGCCTGCGCAGTGGGTGCAGCTCCCGGCCGACCCGGGTTGGCGCCTGCGCAGTGCACCTCCCCTGCACCAACAAACTCAGATTCCACCGAATGGACCTTTGTCCAGCTGCCCCTCCCACCGCCTGAGAATGTCCTGGGTTGCCACAAAATGTAGCGCCCTGTGGCCAGTTTAGACAAAAGAAGATCTTCAACCCGTAACGCCAGGGAGCGGGCGCCCTGGTACGCCCCCAGCCCAGCCCAGCAGGTGGCTGAGGTCCCCATAGGACCTCGCAAGCTGGAGCAGGCGGTCAGCAGCGGATGGGCACGGCCCCGAGTCCACCTTCGTCGCTGACCATGCGGACAGCATCTCGTCCCGCCAAGGCCAGCCGGGTTCCCAGCAGCATTCTCAGACCCAGCTACAAGGCAAACCACACCGCTTTATTACTTCCCGGTGTTTGAACAATTACAGGGGTGAGCCCTGCTGGGATGACCTCAGGTTAAACCTCTGCGCGGCATAACAATCAGGGATGGGCTTCACAGCGCTCAGTGGTCTGAGGTTAGAGGCGCACCGTGCAGACACCGGTCCTAGGCGGAGCCCAGTGCGCCCTCCCACACCCAGCCGAGAACGGGCAGCCTCACGGGGCACCAGCCCCGCCCACGTCTGAGGGGACTTGCCCGGAGCACACGCTTGTAGCAGGCGTGGCCAAGAAGCCTAGGTGACAGGCCTTATTTACAGCACTGCCACGCGGAGCACACCATCCTCGCTATCAGCTGAGCAATTAGACTCCAAGCAAGCCAGCAGCACGTAGCGGCTCTGAGCAGCTCAGAGGTGAGCCAGCTGCAGGGGCGCAAGCTCAGAGATGAGCCAGCTGGAGGGGCGCAAGCTCAGAGGTGAACCGGCTGCAGGGGCGCAAGCTCAGAGATGAACCAGCTGTAAGGGAGCAAGCTGAGAGGTGAACCAGCTGCAGAGGGGCAAACTCAGAGGTGAGCCGGCTGCAGGGGCACAAGCTCAGAGGTGAGCTGGCTGCAGGGGCGCAAGAAGCATGGGGGCAGTGCACCAAGAAAGACAGCTTACAGCATGGTAAAGTATTAAAGCTTTATGCCTGTAAGAAGTCAGGCTGCACGGACCAACACCGTGACACTGCCTGCAGTTCCAGCATCCCACACAAGCGCCACGTCGAGTCCCAGCTGCTCTACTTCCAATCCAGCTCCCTGCTGTATGCCTGAAAAAGCAGCCAACAGCCACGTGACTGGGCCCTGTAATCCAGCTGGGACACCCGAATGGAGTCCCACGCTCCTGGTTCAGCCTGGCCCGGTCCACCCCAGAGTCAGGGAATGACCCAGAGATGGAAGGCCCACTCATTCTCTCTCTCTTTCTCTCATGCCTTATCTTTCAAATAATCTTAAAAAAGATTAATATCCAGAATAAAGACCTCCTAACTCAACACCAAAACAGGCACCTGGCTTAAAAGGGGGTTGAGGGTGGCTAGGGACTTGACCAGACACTTGTCCAAAGTGCACACAGATCAAATGAACCCATCTCTCCCGTGTGCTCACACAATCACGTCCAGGCTCCCAGGCTTTGCCCCCTGACCGCAAGCACCAGCACGGCCTCTTCCCCTCAGCCCACTTCTGATCCCTCCCGCCTGGGCACAGCAGCCAGGACGCCAACCGGCACCTCAGTAGCCTGGAGCAGCAGCTTAACGCACTGTGCCTCAGAGCCACCAAACAAAAACCACAAGCCCAGAAAATGGCCCTAAGGATGAGGAGCAGCTGCGACCCTGGGCAGTGCCGACGGGAAGCTAAGAGGCCACAGCCACAGCACAGGACAGACTAAGCAGGGGACCGGGCTGTCCCAACGGCTCCCAGCTGCTTCTTGGCCATGGGGCTGAGTCGCAGCACTGCTTCACGTGGGAAGGCCCACACGCTGGGGTCCTTGCTGCAGGAGACCAGATGGAACTCCTGGCTCCTGGCTTCGCTCTGGCCCTGGCGGTTGTGGCCATTCAAGCGGTGAACAAGCAGATGGAAGATAATTCCCTGTCTCAAATAAATAAATCTTTAAAAAGAATTAAGCGTGCACAATCCAGCAATTCCATCTCTGGGTAAATACCTAAAGCACTGGAACCAGATTCTTAGCAGTGTATGCCTGTGGTCCAATGTTACAGAAGCATGATTGGTAACAGCTAAAAAGCAAAAAGAACTCAAGTGCCCATCCACATGAGACAGCTAAACAAAAGGCAGGAGGCAAAACAGAGGACAGAGGGAGAGGGCAGAGGGAGAGGGAGAGGGAGAGGGTAGAGGGAGAGGGCAGAGGGAGAGGGCAGGCGGTCCGACTCCCCTCAGGTGAGTGGGGCATGTGGGGCATGGACGTGCCAAGGGCACCAAGTGTCAGACGAACATGCTCTGAATGGCGACAAAGGCACAACAGTGTGACACGCCATGCACACTCCCAAGGGACATGAGAAACTGTCCTGGATCCTGTAAAATTAACAAAGACAGGGAGGAGAGACAGGCTGAGTCCAGCTCTATAGTTCCCTAAAGCAGTACTAAGGACCAGGTCATCACCTTAAAGCTAACAGGCATGGGCAGGCACTGTGGCACAGCCAGTTAAGGCACCGCTTGGGAGCAAACTGGAGTGCCAAGCTGGAGCCTTGCCTACTCAAGGCTTCAGATTCAGCTTCCTGCTCACACACCCGGGAGGCAGCAAATGATGGTGCAAGTCCCTGGGTTCCCACCACCACACGGGACACCCAAGTTCCCACCACCCACATGGGACACCCCAAGTTCCCACATCCACACAGGACCCCCCCCCCGCGGCTCCCACCACTCACATGGGACCCCCCTGAGTTCCCACAACCCACATGAAACCCACGGGGTTCCCGCCACTCACATGGGACACCCCAAGTTCCCACCATTCACATGGACCCGTTCCCACCACCCACAGGGAACCCCCCTGGGGTTCCCACCACTCACACAGGATCCCCTGAGTTTCCAACACCCACATGGGATCCCCTGGCTCCCACCACCCACACAGGACCCCAAGTTTCCAGCTCCTACTTTAAAAAAAGAGAGAAAATTAGCCATAGCCCAGGACCCTAGAACACAGCTGTGCAAGAATACAACACACAGATGGCTCAGCACCACCACCGGGAGGACACAGGATAACGTGCCAACGCAGGCAGCCCCTCACCGGCACTGTGGGCACCCAGAGGACGCCCCTGGCTGAGGCAGCCCCGGATGGCCCGCGTCCCGCCACCCCAAGCCCCGCCGGGCCCGAGCCACCCTTTGCAGCCACACTCTTGCAGCACCATTCTGCGGGTGCAGCAACGCTGACAGCTCAACACGTGGCAGTGCAGGAGAGCGGGTGTTCCCCGAGCCCAGACGGCATCGCGCCCCACCCACCCCACCCAGACCCGCCGCAAAGCCTGGGAGCCCCGGGGACTAACGGAAACCGGGAAGCCACGCGCAAGCGGACACGCGGCCAAGGCGCAGGTGCGCCCGCTGCCCCACCCCGGCACCGCCGCCCCAAGCCGCAACTGAGGACAAAACTCTGCAACTTCTGGACGCTGACTGCCGTCTGCAACCCGCTGCCTCTGGCCGTCCGAAGCTGGCCCTGGGGCGGCCCAGGGGAGACCCCTGCCCAAGCTGGCCTCGGGAAGGCCAGGCAGCCACTTACAAAGGACGACAAGGACGGCAGGAGGATCCGAAGGACATTGCAGCCGAACACGAAGCTGAGCACCAGCAGCCACGCCCAGCGGTCGGCCTCTGCCGCGCTCATCCCGCCCGGTCCCGGGGACGCCCCGCGCCGCTGCAGACTCCGCCGCCCAGGGGACCACGCCGGCGGCCGCGCCTGCGCGCCGGGACTCGCGGCGCGCGCCTGCGCACTGCCCGCGCCGGCGCGGGGCCGGAGCCATCTTGGGCGCGGCGGCTTCGCTGTTCTTGGCCTTCTGGGCTTCCGTAGCGGCCTGCTGTCTGGCAGTGGTCCACCCCGGCGCGGTTTTCTGAAAAGTAATTTGGTAGAGCTGCTCGTTGTCTGCGAACCAGTTATATCATTTAATTAATTTTTTTTAGGCTGACTTGCTTTTGTTTTAGAGCTTTCCAGAACTAGGAGACCTCATAGCAGCTGATAGCTGAAAAAAAATAACGTTTCCTGAGGCGGGTGTTGGACTCGCAGCCACACCGGAGCACTGGGTTCCGCTGTCCAGTCCAGCTGCCTGCTCACACGCGCCGACATCCCTGCCACCCACACGGGGGCTCTGGTTGGAGCATCCCCTTGGTGCCAACCTGACCAAGACCCAGCCATGGGGGACAGTTTGAGGGCTGGACTGTCACATGGGTTCTGGCATTCCTTCCTCTCCATGCCACTCAAATTTTCGTTTTGAGCCAAAAGGGCTTTCTAAGAAACTATGTAAAGTTTCTTAAAAAATAAATCTGCCAACATCTGAAATATAGGCATTAATTAATCAGCAGGCACTGGTTATAATCTGCCTGTGATCATTTTGGAGATTTTAGCAGTTTAAGAATCCCAGAACTTTGGTGTAGCAAGTAAAGCCGCTGCCTGCCTCACTGGCGTCGCTTGTGGGTGCTGGTTCATGTCCCAGCTGCTCCACTTGTTAGAGTCCGGGCTAAAGCCCGTGGACTTCAGGGTGCGAGCTGGTCAGCCCCCAGAGAACGACAAAGAGTCTCACTGGTAATGCAAACAGCAAACAGAGTGCATTGCGCCAGCATGCTGGGGCCAGGCCTCACTTGGGGCACACAGGAGAGCCAAACGGAGGTTGGAGGTCAGACCCCAAAGCAGCCCAAGACAGAAGCTCATATAGGCCCTTTGGGGCTGGGAAATACATCAAAAGTAGCAACCTTAGACATGTTAATTTTTTTATGGCCTTCAGGCACAGGGGCCTGTTCCATTCCCACACCCATTATCTTTATGGCTTATCCCATCCTCACACCCTTATCTTCTTCCTGTTCATGGGACCGGAGAAGAATTGTGCCCTTGCCCAACCCCCCCACCTGGATTCACAAAGTTGCAAGGCAGCGAAGAACAGATTTATCGCTAAAGTGGAATCCTCCCAGAGTCCAGGCGCTTCCTGGCCCAGCAAAGTAGCAGGTTTTTTTCAGCACAAGGGAATCTCACTGCCCAACAAAAACATTCTGTCCCAGCATTCTGATATACTGTCATAGCATTTACCTATACTCCAACACACTTGGATGCCGCTCCCTGCTCGTGTCCAGAAAGCACCGGAAGATGACCCTGCACCCACGTGGGGGACAGGAAGAAGCTCCTGGCTCCTGGCTTTGGCAGGCCCAGATCCCATCATTGTGACCATTTGGGGGAGTGAACCAGCAGCAGCTGCAAGATCTCTTTCTGTAACTGCTTTTCAGATTTAAAACGTTTCTTAAAAGAATCCCAACACTCATTTGTGTGCAGTGGGTAAAGTAAAGCTGGCTTGCTCTGTTTTTTTCTGCCATGGCTTGTAAGGAGTTGTTCTAATATCCCACCCTGGACCTGGCGCCATTGCTTCTTCCTCACAGCTCACGGAATTCACGCCAGTCTAACCATCAGATATAACCTGGCATTGCACCTGAGAATCCCACCCCCAATCTTCCCAGCCCCTTCCCCAACCCTGCCCCTCACCAATCATCCCCAGGCATTCACCTGCAGTTGCCAATCCCCTGGGGCCTGCCCTCAATCCCTCCCAGTCCCCACCCCCCACACCTGGCAGACAAAAAGGCCCCCAGGTGTGGCTTTCTCTCTGCTCTTCTCCTCTCTCCTCCTTCTGGCCTCCCTTCCCTCCTTCCCCTTCCCCTTTTCCTGCCCCGCTGGAATAAACCTCTAAGATACCTCGATGCTTCTGGTGTTTTCAGCTCACGGTAAAGAACCAGGTTGTGGGAATTAGCTGCGCGTAAAATATCGTAATATCGTATGAACTAGAACTAGAACTCTAACCCTTTTTAAATAACACGGCTGATTGCAGAAACTGACTCCTGCTTAAAATGATGCGAGGTGTGGCTCGACAGACTTCTGTTTCTAGGAAACATGCCACGTGATGGTATTTAATGGCAGTGGGATGACTCTTACCCCTGAAAGGGCATCATGGCAGGGAGCTGGCTGTAGCACAGGCCAGAATGCAGCCCAGGACTGGTGCCTGTGGCTGGACCAGCCATTGGTCACGGCCAGGCGGGGCTCCACTAGCCACTGGAGATGCAGGTGGGGTTACAACTGCCCGGAAACACTTGAGGCGATTCATCCTGAACCCCCTCGTGCACCACAGGCTCTACAGTTCAGCCCCAAAATAAAGGGCCCGCCAGACCCCTCCCAGCTGATCCCAGGCCAGACCAGGTGACTTCTGGTGGGGCAAGCAGGTTTAAGGGCTCTTATTATTATTTATTTGGAAGACAAAGTTTCAGAAAGACAAGGAGTCGGAGATAGATCTTGAATCTGCTGGTTCACATCTCGGTTCACATCTCGGAGAGACACAGTGGCAGGACTAGGTCAGGGCTAAGGTAGGCCCCAGACAGGAACCTGGAATTCCACCAGGTTTTCCACATGGCTAGCATTCCCAGGCTCATTAGCAGGGAGACGGATTAGAAGGGGAGCTGCTGGGACTCACACTAGAGCTCATTTGGGTTGCAGGCTTGACCTGTGAGGGTCCAGGCTAGCGCCCCTGGACTTCAGGGTGCGAGCTAGTCAACCCTGGGAGAATGACAGAGTCCCATTGATAATGCAAACAGAGTTCTTTGCACCAGCATGCTGGGGTCAGACTACACTTGGGGAACACAGGCCAGCCAAGCAGAGGTTGGAGGTCGGACATACATCAAAAGTAACAACTTTAGACATGTTAATTTTTTATGGCCTTCAGGCACAGGGAGCCTGTTCCATTCCCACACCCATTATCTTTATGGCTTATCCCATCCTCACACCCTGATCTTCCTCCTGTTCAAGGGACCTGCCCTCCTGCACCTGGCTTAGTTGATAGATCACAAGGTTGCAGGGCAGCAAAGAACAGGTTTATCACTATAGCAGAATCCTCCCAGAGTCCAGGCGCCTCCTGGCCCAGAAAAGTAGCAGTTTTCTCAACACACTGCCCAACCAAAACATTCCATTCTAGCATTCTAACATTCTAGCATTCTAGCATTCTAATATTTACCCACATTTTAACAAGCCCGCACTGCCACAACACCGGTCCCTATAAGAGTTTTGTGAGAGGAGTTGGACTGGGCAGTAGGCAGTTAGGGCATTCTGAGTCCCCAAGTCATTTTTCCTCAAATATAAAGGGGTATTTCCCCCACCACGTCTTGGATTCACCAGAGCACATCTCTCCTGAGACAAGTGCATATCTTATCAGGAATGCTTCCCCAAGAGACAAGGACAACATTAACATACAAATTCCCCTCCTGGAGCCTCAGCCCCATTCTGTCTCCCGCCAGTGCCAAGGGGGGCACAGGGCTTCACACTGGCCTCTTCATCATTACAAAGGGACCAAGGAAGTTGGCCAGTGATACCTTTCTGGCCTTTTGTCCCAGGGCCAGGTGCCATGGAAACCAGGAATTTTCTTTGTTTATGGAGAAACATCTTAGGTAAACCTTTAAAAAATGCTTTCCCCACCATTGATACGTGTTCTTGTCACTGTGGCAGAGCACTAGGGCATTCTTTTTCACTTTTCCTCCCGCCACTATGGCAGGGGGTAAGGGTCCTTCCTATCTCAGAGCCCCCTCCCGTCACTAGGACGGGAGCCTCTCTTCTCAACTTTTCTAATAAATCTTGCTTTAAAACTAAACTGTGGGGCCTGGCGCATGAAAATTCTTCTTTCCTGCGAGACAAGAATTGAGGTTGCTGCTGTATTCGGGGTCAAAAACCCTACAACAATTTGACGCTGGAGAGTGTCCTAGGCTTCTTCGTGGGGCTGGGAGAGGCCCGTGGGTACTTGGTGTTCACAAGCTGTCCAGTTTGAACAACTCAGCTCTCCTATGGCATCCTAGAACCAACATCAACACTTGGAGGCTGAATTAGTGTACTAACATGTAGAAAGAAAACATGAGAGCCGAGCATGTGAGTGTGAACCAGCCCAGGGCAAGTGCAGCCTAAGATAGCAAACACAGCTCATTTCCTAATGTTGCTATAATCAGTAGCCACAAATGCCTCGCTTCAAGTCACATAGATCCAGTATTGTATAGGTCTAGCGGTCAGAAATCCGAAGTGCAACTCAGGGGGCTCAAAGTGAAAGTGCTGCCAGGGCTGCCTTGCTCCTGGAGGTGGCAAAGGGCCATCCACTCCCTGTCCTCCATAACGTCCAGAGATGGCCAGTATTCCTGAGCTCACAGCCCTTTAAGAACTACATGATAAGGAGCTGTCCATGTGGCATAGCAAGTTAGTCCTCCTGCACCCACTTGGAGACCTAGAAGAACTCCTGACTCCTGCTTTTGAATTAGCTCAGCTCAGGCCATTGCAACCATTTGGGGAGTGAACCAGTAGATGAAAGATCTCTCTCTCTTTCTCTCTCTCCCTCTTGTCTTCTCCTCTCTATAAATCTGCCTTTCAAATAAAAATGAACAAATCCTTTTTAAGAAGGGGGGAAAAAAAGAACTTTATGATTATGTTTATCCCCTTAGATAAGCCAGCATAATCTCCTCTCTTGAAAAGAGTTAATTTAGGGGTGGCATAGTGGCTTAATGGGCTAGTCCTCCCACTGCCAGTGTCAGCATCCATATCAGGGCTGGTTTGAATCCCAGCTGCTCCACTTCCCATCCAGGTGCCTGCTTGTGGCCTGAGAAAGCAGCAGCGGATGGTCCTTGGGCCCCTACACCCATATCG